AATGCTTCTATCTCTTCACTTTTTTTTTTCCTTTTCTGCTAAAAATAGCTGTAGTAGGACAGGATCTTGCTGGGAACCTTCAGTAAGTTGTCCTTTTCTTTTTCAAACTTCCTGTCAGTCATCCATGCATGTCAGTAGTAATGTCTTAACCATACTTCCAAGACCTCACTGTCAGTCCCCTCTTGCCATTGCTGACTTAACCTTAACTTGTATTTTACTGAGTGGATTGTCCTAGGATTTGTCCTTCTCATTCCGTACTTAAGTCACTCCATAAGTGTTCCCCTCAGCAACACCTGACATAGCCTTTCAAAGAAAGCTTATTTATTTATTTATTTATTTTTTAGTTTTATTTTGTCTTTTGAATTTGCTTTACTTAAGTGTCAAAACTCCTTCTTATCGTGGGACAGGATGTCATGTAGAAATGACACAGGTACTATCAATTTTATAATTGATTCTTGACAGTGTCATTAACATTTTCATCTCATCAAATACGTGTTATGGACATGGTATCGTTACTAAGCACGATTAATGCCTAAGTAAAATTATAAATTCAGTTCATGGACTAGGTTGTGTTTTGTTTTTTGCTTTTTACAAGCTTATGTGAAACAATATTTCATGATTAATATGTGAATTATACAGATGTTCAACTGAGAAATATGCTTGATCCTTTACCATTTATTATACTCCAAAACTTGGTTAACTTATATGTCCTTGAATATGTATTCTTTATCTTGAATAGTACTTTGTTTTCTCTTGTATGAATTTTGGAAGGAAACATCAATTTTTGTAACTTTTATGGGAACATAAGCCTTTTTTTATTTTTAAGGTTTTTTGCCCAAGGGCACATGTGCTGGCCAGAGAGAAACAGAGATAGAGCAGAAGTGAGAAATCACTACGCAGTGGGGATGGCCATGCCACAATCGATTGTTCTCCATTCTCTTCCTGGGGTTTTGGACGTGCACGCACACATTCCTGGTGTGATTTTCAAACTTTCAGGTCTGGGACTTGAGCCACGGTTGGCTGTATGGTTGTCCAGTGCCGAAACTACTATGCCACCTGCTAGCCCAAGAAAGTAAAAAGTCTTAAAATCAAAACTAGATTTTTATCTTAAATATACACTCAGCCCTCCTTATCTGCATCTATGAATTTAAGCAGCTGTGGACCAGAAATGAAATGTTGCTGCTGACGTGCAGATAGGCCTATGATGGTTGTAGAACATGTACAGGCTTTTTTCTTGTCATTATTCTCTAAATAATACAATATTATAATTGTTTACATGGCATTTATATTGTATTACATATTATAAATAGGAATGATTGAAAGTATGTAGTATAAAGTAAAGGAGAATGTGCGTAGGTTATACGCACATACTATGCCATGTAAGGGTTTGAGCATGTGTGAATTTTAGTGTCCATGAGGGATTCTGGAACTAGTCCCCTGTGGCTACTGGGGACGACTATACCTAACTTACTACCAACTAATGACTGTATTAGAATAACATTTTCTGAACAAAGTGTTATGATGAGATTTTCATGAACTAGCACCTTAGGAAAGCAACATTCAGAGTTTAGTCTTAAAATTTCTTTCACTTTTACAGAATACCTTATTTCCTAAAACCTTTCAGAGAGCTTGGGGATCTCCATGAAACCCACTTAGAATCTCCCTGTTAAAATCTTACAGGAATATCTAAGGGACCATTCTGTCTTCAGTAATGGATAGGGACAGAATATCACCAGATTTCTTGGTCTCTTAAAATCAGATGTGTTGCCTAGTTATGTTATTTAAGTTGTATAAGATCCCCATTTGCTGAATATCTGTTTGGATATTAACTTGTATGGCTAAGTTTCTGATGTACATTGGAAAAGTTAAAAATTCCTGATCACTTACCTAAAGTGTTTACTTAAGTTTTCCCTTCTGACTCAAAATACTTTTACTACTTGTAAAACATTAGAATTTTGGAAGACTTTTCATTTTAAGTCCATTATCAGTTTTCTTATTTTTTTTTAACTTTTATTTATTCAATGAGTTATTTAGTTTTTAGGTTTTTTTTTTTTTTTTTCTCCATTAGGCCACTTGCACTCCCTAGAAAGGGAAAGAAATAGTGAGAGGGAAAGTGAGAAATCACCCCTAGGAGGGATGGTCATGCTGTACTCCCTTCTCCATTCTCATGCTTTGGGCATGCACACACTAGCACCCTGTGTGATTGGCCATGTGGGAGTCCAGCGCCTTAATCACCATGCTACTGACTGGCTCCAGTATCTAATCTTTTAATACAGCTTGTTTTTGCTCTACCTATCTTCCCCAAAGACCATAATTTAGGTATTTTAGAGACTGGTTTTAGTGGGTTTTTTTGGGTGGAGAGAGTTTATGCTATAGGGTCCGAGCACTTGCGGGACAAAGAAAGAGACAGGAAGCGAGAAATCACCACCCAGGGGTGATGTTTTTTTTTTTTTTTTCTTCATTCTCTTCTCTGGATTTTAGGCATGGATGTACACGTGCCCAGCATGATTTATAAACTACTGGATCTGGGACTTGAACCATGGTTGACTACATGGGAGTCAAGCAATGTAATCATTATGCATCTGCTGGTCCCCCCTTTTTGTTTCCCCCTTAATTTGCCGAGGTTGTATGGCTTGCTGGAGAAAGTGAGAAAGCATTCTTCTGGGGAATGGTCATGCCACAACTCCATTTCTCCTTACAGGATTTTGGGCACACATGCACGTGTATTCTGCATGTTTTTCAAGTGGCTGCATCGGAGACTTGAACCATGGCCATCAGCCATGTGGGATCCAGATACCTTAACCACCATGTCACTAACTGGCCTATTAAAATGTCATCTATAAAAAAAAAAATGTTGCTGTAGGGTGCATGTGCTTGCTGGAGGTAGACAGAGACTGACAGAGAGGGAAAGCGAGAAAGCATCTCCCAGGAGATGGCCACATTGCAATCCTTTTTCTCCATTTTACTTTTGGGATTTGGGGGCATATATGCACACACATCCAAAATGTCACTTTTTTATGTTCTTAGTTTTTTTTTACTTTTTGCTATAGGGCATGTGCATTTGGAATCAAGGATATGGGCATGCTACAATCTCTTCTCCTCCAGTCTGCCATCAGGATTTGGGGCCTGCATGCACAGGTGCCTGGCGTGGTTTTCAGGTTGCCATCCAGGACTCAAACTGCATAATTGATCATGGGTCCAGGACCTTACTTCCATGCCACCTGCTGGCCTCAAAATGTCATTTTTAAATGTTCCTTGATAACGTTAGGTTAAATGACACCAGAATGAGTACACATATCAACAGCTGATATAACTAGTTAAAATTTTATTCATGATATATATTGAAGGACATTTTAAACTTTATGTTAAGTGCATTATGTGTTAGTATGGCATATTTTGCATTTTAAAAAGAGGCATTATTTAACTAACTTTCAAAAGCTTGAGTTGGAAATGATTAAATTAAGATTTCAGCAGTGCATGTGCTCTAGTATAACCTTTCTTAAAAACACAATAAAGAGCAAATCAGTTTAGGCTTTACGTTTTTTTCTTTAATTAAAATGTGTGATTTTTTTTTTATTTACGTCTAATTTTATTAAGTATGGTGTATCAATCTGATAACATTATTTTAAAGTTAATTATTGACTTGATTCTGAGGCATAACAATTGTAACAAAACTAAATTTAATTCAATTAACCTACTTTCCACCTTTTTTTTTCAAGATAAATTTCAGAATTCTTTTCCTTGAGTTTATGAATTCAGGAAATTCTGACTTCCTGAATTTATGCATGTTTTTTCTTCATTGTATTTATTTCAAAATAGTCTTTATATATGTTTAAGCTTAGAGAATTCTGTTCTATTTGAATTTTTTAAATTATTAATACTTTTACTTAAGAATCAAGAGATTTAAGGAGTTTTTAAAAACATTTTCACCATAGCAACAATTGTCTGAGGGGACTTCAGAAAGCTTGTGGAGAGGTGGTATGCTTGTCAAAGCACTGAACTCCCCCATGGCTGACTGCGGTTCGAGTCCCAGACCCTGTGGCTTGAAGATCCTGCCAGGTACATGTGGGTGCATGCTTGAGAAGAAGATGGAGGAGAGAGGACTTCTTCATAGCCATCCTCTCCGGGGAGTGATTTCTCACTTTCCCTCTCTCTGTCAAGGACATGCTTCCTATGGAAAAAAATGTAAAAAGTTGGTGAAAAAGTGGAATTAGAGTACAGTTTTATTTTGATACAACAAATTTTGAATTTCATTCATAGTTTTCTTAATAATCTATTCTGTAGACTTTGTGAAGATGCCACACATGAATACACACACACACACATGCAAACACACACTTATACCTATATGTAAAATGTTATATCAACATAGCTATAAATAGTCATTTTAAAATACTCCTAGATGGGACCAGCAGGTGACATAATGATTATGTCACTGGACACCCACGTCGTCCACTGCAGTTCGAGTCCTGGACCTGGAAGTTTAAAATTTAAGCCGGGCACATTGCATGCATGCCCAAAAACCTGAGAGGGAGAATGGAGGAGAAGGGGTTGTGGCATGGCCATCCTGCGGGGGTGATTTCTCACTTACGGTCTCTCTGTCTCTTCGGTGAGCACATGTGCCCCATAGCAGAAATCTCTAATATATATAGGCCTAGATTTAGCACAAGTTGGTCACTTGCTTATTCTTATACTTTGTAGCCTCCTTTTTTTAGAATCTAAATTTTTTCTTAATGTTTTAGGATAAATGGAGGTTTTTAAAATTAACTTGCAAAATAAAAATTGAACAAAGTTAAATTATAATTTAGAGATTGTCATACACTGTTAGACAACAGTATGATAATAACTACTGATCCCTTTCATGGACACCTTCAGTGGAAATGTGAGAAACCATCAATGTGTTGGCGCCGACAGACCTGGTGATTTTCCTTAAGTGATTAAAAACGTTTTACTCTTAATATACTGATGCCAAATAAAAAACTTTTATTTGTAACTTATAGCTTACCAGCCATGCAGCAGAGGGAAGTCCCAGTCACCCAGGAGGAGATGCAGTGGCCTCCTTTGCTGACATTGGATGGGTAGCCAAAGAAGAAGGAGAGTGCTCAACAAGACTAAGGTTAGTTTGGAAGACTATCAGAGCTGAGGTACCATATCTATTATTTTAAAGGATATAGTACTTTATTGTTTTAAATATTTACAATACTGCCTATTATCTGCCTAATGCGATCCCCAATAACTAACCCAGTTGTTGTTGTTTTGTTTTTTTAGTTTTTGTTTTATTTTTTTTTTTTCAAGCAGTCTTCTTAAATGATTTGGCTAGTATTTATAAAGTTCCTAGAGATATAATAGTGTCCAAACTCCTTGTGAAATACAGCATCCCCTGCCTTTTAGAAGTTTACATTCTAATATGAGAGACCAGAAAGAACTATCATAACTGTTTCAGTAAGTGGAGTAATTATAATATCTCACTGAGGCAGAGAACTCAGTCTGGATCATAGTAGAAAATTTGAAACTAGAGAATGTTTTCTAAAAATAGTGAGTTAAGAATTGGGATTCAAAGGAAACAATGTATTTATTAAAAAAAAAAAAGAAAAGTCTCCCTTAATTTAAAAGATCCTGAATAGAATACTGACCATGCATTCAATGTAATAGTTATTCAACATATACCTATTAGACATCAAGATTAGATTATTACAGAGATACATAATCCTATTATATTAAGACTCTTATTCAACATTAAGATTACAGAGATATATTGGGTCATCGGAAAATTCATGACACATTTTTGCATAAAAAAATATGTCATGACTTTTTCAATGACCTAATATAATCCTTGTGTTTCAGGAATACTTGATATGATAGAGAAGGTAAAAAAGGAAATCAGTATTACTGGTGCTGTATGAAGGAGCTTCTAAAAAGTTCGTTCAAGGGTTGGCTCTACATTAAGGGGATAATGTATTGCTTAAGAGAAGCTGGATACTACTACATGGCTATCACACTTTGAATCCTGGTCCCAGTAAGCCTGAAATGTTCCAGACCTGTGTTTCAGTGCCCAGGATCCAATGGGCTGGAAGATTAGAGGACGGGAATTCCAGTCTGACTAGACTCTGTGGAGGATGCTCCTCTCTCTCTCACACGCACATATACACATATACAACACACACACCCCAATACATTCTCTCATAGATTTAAAAAAGGTTTATGGAAAATGAAATTAAAGTAATTATTTTGGTGCAAAAATTTTGAAATTCATGCACATTTCTCATAATACACATTTTTCGTGAGCTTTTTGGAAGTAATTATAGCAGGTCACTGTAGAGTGGAAGAGGTTTTAAAAGTAAACAGCAGGAAATGCTAGAACTGAGTGATAAGGAGTCAGAAGAAGCCAAACAGATGGAAGGGTAGAATCTAGGAAGAGTAAAGAACTTGTTTGAAGGTGCAGTCAGGAAACAATGTGCCACGTTTGGGAAACACATAGAGAATGGCGAGAAAGGGAACAGGTAGATGAGCATAGGGTAGGTGGAGGTTTAAAAATCATACATATGACACTAAGAAATTCCAGCTTTTTCCTGAAAGCAATATAGAGCCAAGAAAGAACTTTAAGTACTATAGTAATATGATCAGACTTGTATTTTAGTAAAACTAACCTGTAAACAATATAAAGAATAGAAGGAAACCAGACCAGGAGACAGATCAACTAATAAATGATCAGAACTTGATTAAATTAAGAAACTAGTAAATGAGGTCAAAGCCAGGAGAGAGTAGGAGAACTAAAGGGACATAAAAAACTAATACATAAGAGGATTGAGGAAGGAAAGATGTAGGAGAATGCCTAGGTCTCCTGGATAGGATAGTTATAAGGATGATGGGGAGGGACTTATAAAGATATGGGAAAACAATTTATTGGTGTTTCTGTTTTGTTGTTGTTGTTCTTTTATTTTGGTACGGGGCACATAGGAGTATTCCAGTCTGTAAATGTTATGTTTGTATTTCTTATGAGACATTCACATTGACTAGAACAGGTTATATGAATACACACTGATAAAGAAGGCTTGCATGTTGTAACATGTATTAATAGATAAATGATTGAAAATGAGAGTGTCCATGGAGCATACATAGAGCACGAAGAACATTTGTATCCTGAACGAAGCTGGCATTTGAGTTAAAAAAGAAAAAATATCCCCACCCGTAACAAAGGAGAGGAGTGGCAGGTGGAGAACTAGTTAGTAGAGTGGTTATTGTGGAAGCAGAGGTAAGAATCGGGTTTTCATAGAAATGAAGTAAAGTTGTCTTCAGGGTCAAACATTGGATAATCAGGGAACCAGCAGTTAGCGTAATGGCTATGTCACTGGACTCTGATGTAGTCGACTGCGGTTTGCGTCCCGGACCCGGTGGCTTAAAACTCACGCCGGGCGCTTGTGCGTGCGTGCCCAAGATCCCGAGAGGGGGAATGGAGGAGAAGGAATTGCGCGTGACCATCCCCCCTGGGGAGTGATTTCTCGCTTTCTGTCTCTAATGTCTCTCTCTGTCTGGTTAGCGCACGTGCCCTATAGCGAAAATCTCTCCAAAAAAAAACAACATTGGATAATCAGAAAAGTCATGACACGTCTTTGCATAGAAAAATACGTCATGACTTCTCTGACAACCCAGTATTTTGGGCCAAGCAAATAAAAAACTAGCAAGTTTTCAATTTTGTTTCTCAGTTGGAAGATTATCATTTACTTTAACCCAAAGGCTTGAAACTCACACTGGATGCATGTGCGTGTGTGCCCAAAATCTCAAGCAAAGAATGTAGGAGAAGGGATTGTGGTAAGACCATCCCCCCTTAGGGAGTGATTTCTCAGTTTTTGTCTCTCTGGTGAGCACATGCCCCATATAGCAAAAAATCTCTCTTAAAAAAAAATTTACACCTGGGAACCAGCAGTTAGTGTAATGGCTATGTCGCTGGACTCCCATGTAGTCGACCACAGTTCATGTCCCGGACCTGGTGGCTTAAAACTCACACTGGGCACATGTGCATGCGTGCCCAAGATCCCAAGAGGAGAATGGAGGAGAAGGGATTGCGGCGTGACCATCCGCTCTGGGGGGGTGATTTCTCGCTTTCTGTCTCTCTGTGTCTCTCTGTCTGTCTGGCGAGCGCATGCGCCCTATAGCAAAAACCTCTCAAAAAAAAAAATTTAAGTTTTTTTTTTTTTTTTTTTTTGAGCAAATGTAAACAGTATTGTATTTTTAATTTGGGTGTCCACATGCTCATTTATAGTGAGTTTTCAGGAAAGTCATGACATATTTTTATGTTTTTCTATGCAAAAATGCATCATGATTTTCCTAATGACCCAATAGTATAGTGTGATACAGTTGGTTAAAAAAAATTTACTATTTATCCTGTGACCTTGCTAACTCACTTATTAGTTCTAGGAGTTTTTCTGTTGGTTCCTTGAGATTTTCTGTACAGATAATCCTGTAATCTAAACAGGGAAAAGTTTTATTTCTTCCTTTTGATATGCATACCTTTTCTTTTTCTTGCCTGGTACACTGGTTAGAATTAGCTGTATTTTATGTTGAATATGATTGACTGGTGAAGGTGGACATCCTGGCCTTATTCACTATTTTAAGAGGAAAGCAGTCTTTTACCATTCCATAGGGTTTTTATATATTCTATTTATCAAGTTGAGGAAGTTTCTTTTTTATTTTGCTATAGGGCTTGTGTGCTTGCTGGAAAGAGAGACAAAGAGAAAGAGAATGAGAAAGCACTTCCTAGGGGATGGACACTTCACAATCTCTTCTTCTCCATTCTCCTCTAAGGATTTTGGGCATGCAGGCACACTCGCTCGATGTGTTTTATAGTCACCAAGTCCGGAACTCAAACCACATATTTGGCCATATAGGATCCAGCTGCCTTAACCTCTGTGCCACCTGCTGGCCCATACAGAGCTCTTTAACAATTTATTTGAACTCTCACGTAAAGAGAATAGAAATCAGAATTAACCTGTTGTAATAACAACGAGCCAGAGTAAACTTTTAAATTATTATTATTTTTTAATTGCTAAAGGGTGTGTGTACTCAACAGAGAAAGACAGACAGGGAAAAAGTATTCCCCCCCCCCCCCATGAGATGTAGGCCCCCCACATCCCTTCTCTTTTACCCCCCAGGAGATGTAGCTACACCACATCCCTTCTCTTTCATTTCTCCATCCTGTCAGGATTTGGAGCATGCATGCACATGTCCTGAGTGTGTTTTTGTTAATTAGTTTTTAAGGTACATGTACTTGCCAGGTATAGACAGAGAGACAGAGGGAAAGTTAGAAAGTACACCCTAGGACCAGCACGTAGTGTGGTGGTTAAGGTGTTGGACTCCCACATGGCCAACCATGGTTTGAGTCCCGGACCTGGTGGCTTGCTTTCTCATTTTCTTCCTCATTCTCTTTCTCTTTCTGTCTTCCTCTCTCTGGTGAATACATGTGTACTATAGCAAACAAAATAATAATAACAATAATAAATAAAATTAAATAATAATTTATAAAAAAAAAAAAAAGAAGAAACCAAGCACACCCCTCGCCCCTCAAGTGGGGATGGTCGTGCTGCAACCAGTTCCTCCATTCTTCTCTCAGGATTTTGGGCACACAAGTACATGCACCCAGCATGTTTCTCAAGCTGCTGGGTCCAGGACTTGAACTGCACAGTCGGCCATGTGGGATCCAGCCACCTTAGCCACTATTCCACCTTGCTGGCCATGGTTTACCATATTAAAGAGTGTTAAGTTTCTTCTCTGGGCCAGCCTGTGGCATGGTGGTTAATGTGACTGGATGCCAGATGGCCAACTGTAATCACGGACTCTGTGGCTTGAGAAACATGCAAGGCCTTTTTGTGTGCATGCCCAAACTCCTAAAAGGAAGGAGAAATGAAGGAGAAGGAAGGGATTGTGGCATGACCATGCCCCAATGTGGGAGTTGCTTTTTGTCATGAGCATGTGAGCAAATGCAACCTCTGGCAGTTAAATAGAAGTTTTTCTTCCTAGTTGAAACTAAAAACATGAATAAGCAAACCTTTTGCTGGAATCTGTGCTGCTTCCTGGTTTGTGCATATTGTTATAGAGATTCATAGTGACGGCCAGGAACAATTCTGGACATGCTATGCAGCTTCATAAGGTTAACAAGTACTTCGTTGTTGCACACTCAGAGGAGGCAGTTTAGGTAAGAGCAGCCTGCAGAGTGGTTCTCTAGTGTTATCCTCTGCAGCTCTAGTTATTGGTGATGACTTTTCATGGCCTCTTGTGAAGCCTATGACAGCTGCTTTGATGTCTTCTTGCAGGACAGAGGTGAGGTCAAGGCTACCGCTTCAGGATGACCTTCTGCTCTCTGAGAACCTCCCACGCCAGCAAGTTCCCTTACCAAACTTGTTTTATGAAGAACCTCGGCCAAAGACCCCAGCACTGGCAAACGAGGAAGCGCTGCAAAAGATCTGTGCCCTCGAAAATGAACTCGCTGCCCTCAGAGCTCAGATAGCCAAAATTGTGACCCTACAAGAACAGCAAAGTCTCACTGCAGGTCTGTAAGTCCTACAGTTGTTAGTTTTACCTAGCACACTGGAAATGAGATCACAGCTTATTAATTATAAGTAACAGCTATTGGGGTTGTTAGAAGACCAGGTGCCACTTATGCAGAGTCCAATATATGTGCCTAGTCAAATTTAAGTGGCACATCGTGTTTCCAGCAGTTTTGATGCTATTAGAAGTGATGAGGAAATACCTTAGAGAACACTGAACTTGGTTCAGTGGTTCCTTGGCCTGGACTTGAACTGCAGTCAGCCATGTGGGAGTCCAGCGCTTTAACCTCTACCCCACCTAATGATCTCTTTGGAAAATTTTGTTGGCTGTGATGATGACACCAACCAAATAGACACTAAGTTATCCCATGGGATCTGAATAGTGAAAGCCTGGGTTTCATGTGAGCTGAGTGCTATGTCCTGAGACAGCTGGACCTTTAACTTCCCTTTCCTGCTCTAAAATGGAGTTAGTAGTGCTTATGTTACCAGGTTATTCTGAGAGCAAGAGCGGAAGGTGTATGAAGTGCCTTTAGCAAGAGTGGAAGGTGTATTAAGTGCCTTTAGTACACAGCAGCTAAAGGTCCTAGTCTTACACAGAGTAGAAACTGAATCCAGGTCTTCTGACTCCTGGTCTAATAATGTTCTTATCTGTGTGACATTAGCACACTGTGGAAGGAAGCCATAGCCTTGAAGTCCTAGCCCACTAAGCTTGTGGTAGCTAGTGCTTTGCTAGCTGTTGCCCTTGAGTCCTGGCTAGACTCATTATTAACCAGCTTTGTTTAAAGGATAGGGACAATTATTTCCCCTGCTTCTGAGACACTTTGCTTGTTTCTGGAGTTTAATATAGTCCAACATTAAAACTTCATCTACCTTGGGCAGAGCAGATATGGGATAGATAATTGGTGTTACTTGAATGAACTCGGCTTACGCATGTGACTTTATTAGTTTTTTTTTTTTTTTTCTTTCTCTAGAGCAAAAAGAAACCCGGTATGCCAGATATGCTAGAGATCCTTAAAGATATGAACAGTGTTAAACTTTGGTCAGAAGAGTTGAGGGTGCATTTACCTTCTTTCTTGCTTTGGCTTTTTGAGGATTCTGTTTTATAATATCATGAATTGTTAAATTTTAAATTTAAAAAGAGTCTACCCCAGTGTCTCCTATACCCAGTAGATGAAGAAATTAGATTTTTTTTTCCTTCTCTGTGCTCGCTAGAGAGACAGAGACAGAAAGTGAGAAATCCACTCCCACCCCACACCCCCTCATCCTCCTGGCAATCCCTTCTCCTCCATTCTCCTCTCTGGATTTTGGTCACTCATATACATGTGCCTGGCATGAGTTTTAAGCCACTGGGTCTGGGACTGGAACTGAGGTAAGCTATGTGGGAGTCCAGCAACTCCATCTGCTGGTCCTACACATGTAACTTTTTAAGAACCTAAGGTCTTGCCCTTTTTAAATTTAATTTTAAATTGTATTTTTCTTTTGCTTTACCTCCCTCTCCTGAAAGACTAGGACAACTACTATAAATAGTGAAGTAATTTTGGAGTTTATGTTTAGATGTTCTACTTATAGTCTGAATCTTTGGAGTAAAACTCAGGCTTGCATCAATACTGTTTTCTCCCCCAGTATGGTTCACTCAGTAAACAATTTTCTAACTTCCTGTTATTTACAAAAATGAATTTTAGGTCCTTATTTTGTAACCTCTTTAATTCTTAATTTAGTTCTTGTTTTGGAAGTGAAATGTAAGACTTTTTCTTCCTTCCAAATATATTCAAGTTTATGCAGGCTTTTAGTGCTTAATAAATCTAATATAAAAACTTCCTTAAAATGAATCACAAGTTTATCAAAGTTTTTTCAAATAGTATTAATAGTACTAAATTGTTAAACTACATTGAAGACACAGGTGTTTGTGCAGTATAGTCCGCTTTATACTTTTGCTAAAAGTCATTGCAAACTCTGCCACACTCATATTGAACACTTGATAGCACAAAAACACCCCTGTTAAATGGAATTTTTCCATCTGGCAGGTTTGGGATTGAAAAGATACAGTGGCTGAGATTCAGGCACTTACGAAGTAACTGAAACTACCTTTCTTCTTACATAACTGAGATTCTTTTTTTTTTTTTTTTTTTAAGTTTATTTGCTTCTTCTATAAGGCACACACAGAAGTGGGGAGATACACACAGATAAGTGCCCAGACAGGTCTGCACATTAATCCCCCTTCAGTCTTAGCTGGCCTGGATCATAGCTGCATGTATGCCTGACATGATCAGGGAGGGCCTGGGATGTGAACCCAGGACCTTTCCCATGTGGGCCCAGTTGTTAGCACTATACTAACACCTGGCCCTTGGGTTCTTTTGAGGGCTGTTATTTTTAGGGGCACAAAAGTCCTTATGTAATTCTAAAATTTGATATTTTGGGCCATCCTCCTAGTACAGTGGTAGAGGGAGCTAGATCCCACGTGGCTGACCATGGTTTGCATCCCAGTCCTGGCAGCTTGAAAAACAAACTGGGCACATGTGTATGTATGTGTTCCCAAAATCCTGACAGGAAGGAGAAATGAAGGAAAAAGGGTTGCAGCATAACCACGCCTCATGGAAGAGGTGCTCTTTGGTGAGCTCATACATTCTCTAGCAATTAAAAAACAAAAAAAGCAAGCCCTGCTATTTTGTTTGCTTCTACTAACAAGATTAAATTTATTTTTTTATTATTTTTGTAGGTGACTCAGATTCTACTTCATCTGTTACCACGGCACCACCTCCTCCCCCACCACCCCCACCTCCCTTGCCACCTCCACCTCCACCTCCCCCTCTTCCAGGGCTTCACCAAAGTGTGTCTGCTATTGATCTGATTAAAGAGAGAAGAGAGAAAAAAGTCAATGCTGGAAAGACTTTGGTTAACAATCCAAAGAAACCCGACATGCCAAATATGCTAGAGATCCTTAAAGATATGAACAGTGTTAAACTTCGGTCAGTGAAGAGGTGAGGACGCATTTACCTTCTATCTCACTTTGGCTTTTTGAGGATTCTGTTTTATAACATGACTATCATGAATTGTTAAGTTTTTAGTTCAAAAAGGATGGACCCCAGTGTCTCCTGTACCTAGTAGGTGAAGAGATTAGCAAAGTAAACCAATTATTTTTTTAAGTGATATTTTAGTTTTCCCATTTAACTTAAAATATCACCCCTTTCATGCGATGCCATTATTATGATTGCTCACTTACTCAATACAGGTATGTTATATACCCACAAAGGTAGTTAGTGATTATGCATGGAAGATGGAACCCCTGATTGCTCTGACTGAACAATTGATGTTCTAGAGATTCATTAAGTGGTTCTTTATTGGAATCTTGTGTGTTCTTTGGTTGAGTGTTAAATCCACGTTTCCATCTCACTGCTACCAGTATTTGCCACTGCCTTGAATGCTAGAGATGTGCTGTTGGGTTTATAAAAGCCAACAAAGTACTTCCCTGAGGGATGGCAGTATGTTATCCTGTCCCCTTGGTTTCTGTCTCTAAGGTCAGAACAAGATGTAAAGCCCAAGCCAGTGGATACTACTGACCCTGCTGCCCTCATAGCAGAGGCTCTGAAAAAGAAATTTGCATATCGGTATCAGAGTGATAACCATGGTGAAGTTGAAAAAGGAATTCCAAAGTCTGAATCAGAGGCCACCTCCGAGACAGTGTTGGTGAGTGTGAGCCCAGGTTTCTTTCCTGTTACATGGGAGAATCTCCTAGTTGCTGAGCAGAGGTTTTACAAGTCATTCAACTGTGTTCTGTCCAGGATTCACTGATTGTGTACGTGATATAGTCCCTACCTACAAGTAGATTGTGGCTAGCTGGGCGACAGATGGCAACTTTGCTTAGCACCTATCCTTTTTTTTTAAACTATAAAATAATAATTGTTCATTTGGAAATTTATAAATCTGAAACTTATAAAAGAACATAAAGCAAAATGTAAGACCTGATCTTACAACTTAGCAGTTGCCAATGTTGTATTTTCCATGAGGGCTACATTTTTAAAAATTATTTATGTATTATTTTTAAAGTTTGCTATAAGGTACATGTGCTCACCAGAGAGAGAGGGAAAGTAAGAAAGCAAGCCACCAGGTCCAGAACTCAAACTATGTTCGGCCAACACCTTAGCTACCACACCACCTGTTATCCCCCTAGTTTGATTTTTATTTAAGCATATCAAAGTAAAATTCATTATAATAAGGGGCCATTAGGTAGTGTGGTGTTTAAGGTGCTTGACTCCCACATGGCCAGTTCAAAGTCTCAGACATAGCAGCTTAAAAATCACACTGGGCACATATATGTCTATGCCCCAAATCCCGAGAGGAGACTGGAGGAGAAGGGATTACAGTATGGCCATCCCCCATGAGGGGTGATTTCTCACTTTCCCTCAATCTGTCTCTTTTTGGTAAGCACACACACCCTATGATAAAAACCTAAAAATAAAAAAAAAAATGTATTGTAATAATGCCTCTTATCTTAGTAAAGCAATTATTTTCTCTCAGGATACTCTGGGAAAGTCTTGTGAAGAGAGTGAGACTGGATATGGGCCTCATAGGCTATTTGCCATGTCATAGGTGGGGATGGAGCAGACTTGATGGGATTTCTCTCAAAGCCTAACTCATACATTCCTGTTGGTCATGTTGCTGTCATAGGGGTTAATGTGCTGTGTGTTCTAGAGAGGCAGGTATCTCTGAGATTCTAGCACCTTTGAAATTCTTTCAGATATTGGAAAGGAAACTTCATTTGTTCTCTGTGTACTCGGACAAAAGTTTGAACTAAGATGCTTATAGTCTTCCAGAAAATAGTTTGGCTACCTCTCTGCCATTCATTCAGTTGAGTTTATAACAACCTGTTAGTTCATAATATTACTAGCTGCATGATATGTTCTTCTGACTTCTACCCTCTGACTCATGATGGGGGAGTCTGTCCTTACTGTTACATGAACCAGTATCTTTATGCATGCATTTTATATGTTTCTTTTCTAGTTTGGACCACACATGCTGAAGTCTACAGGAAAAATGAAGGCTTTAATTGAAAATGTTTCAAACTCCTAATATATAGTGACTAAGTGGAGAAAGACTAACCTGGTTCAGCTATCGGTTTGTGAGGGCCAAGTTTGACTAGTAGAAATCAACACTATTTAGTAAATACCTGATTTTAGTATTTGGTTTCTTTTTTAACCTAATTAGAGGGTTAAGCAATAATGAAAGTACTCTGGTTTTGCTTTTATGAGATGGTCAGTTCTCGAGTTCTCCACAACATACGCATTCTGACATGTTTTTAACGGGTAGCCCAGGTGTCAGGTTTCCAGGCTTGAAAACAGTTGTATAGACTTCAGGACATAGAAAGGACATTTGTTGATGTTACTGTATTTTTAATTCTTAACACTAATTTATCTGTACAAATGTTTTATATGCATATATTTGGATATAAAACAGTTGATGTAAAAATTAGTAATGAGTTACAGCAACTAGGGTACTGTTATCTTCATTTGTTTTCAGTGATCATTTACTATTTGATGACAGAACAGCTGGTATAACATAAGTTGTTGGAGTGAAATATGAGGTTGGAATATGTTGAGGTTGGAATCTTCTTGCCTTGAACATAATGTCTGAGATCCTCTCTCACACTTTCCTGGAGCTGGGGTTTGAGTAGGAACCAGAAGATGATCACTGCGCAATTCCATGTTTCCCATTAAGGGGAAGTTGAAGACCAGGAAAGCTGCTTTCATCTCACTGCCATCCAGGACTGAGGAAGAAAATGGGGAGTGTTCAGGTGTTGAAGTGACTTAAATCCTATCTGAAATAAAAGAATACATCTCTTTTGTTTTAATAATGACATCATAAAGATGACTTCTTGCTAAGTTATTATTTCTGGAAATGTCCACACATAATGGAGTTTAAAATTTTTTAATACTGGCCAAAATATTAACTACATAGTGAAACATTACTGAATAGGCAAATGAATTGTGCATAAATTGTTTATCATTGGTCAGAATGCTGTTACATTGAAGTATATTATGTATTATAAATCTTAGGTATTAGTAGAAAGTGGAGAACTGCCTTTGTCACCTAGGGCTTCTAAGGACTTGACACATGTGAACATTTTTAAATGCGTGATAAATCGTTATGATTTTCTATTTCTGATAAGCTTAGTTATAGTTAATGCCAGAAAATCCTACCATGAATAAATATTTGGATTTATTATTTAAATCTAGTATAAGATAGTTATACTTCCAGGGACAATTAAGAAAAGGGAGTAATAGATATTCACTTTAAGTTATTGAAAGTATGTGCATTGTTCTAAATATTAACAAAAACTATTTGGAATAATTTACATGGTTTGGTTATTCAGCCTAAATTTGAACTGTGGCTTATTTTATATATGTTGTGGTAAATTGTTTCTAATTGTTTTATATGGTTTAAAAATTCTGACCTTAAAGAAATTCAGAAAATTTGCCTGATATATATATTTTTTGACCTCTTAAGGAATTTATATTTGTATCAGTATTGAATTCTGGCCAGTGCTCCAATATGAGGAAGTTACCAAATAAAGCAAACTTTTACTTTCCTTGGACCATAGCATAATCTTTCTGTT